AGCGTGAATCTACTCAATAAAAACCCATAAAACCCACAATAAAATGCTAATTACTACAAAAACCAGAGTTACCCACCAAAAATAATATAATTTTTTATACCAATCATCTATTGGATGAAATCACAGGAAGATAAAAGCGAACGAAGAAAAAAAAACCACAGACTGTGAAGACGTTATGAAATCAAAGCAAACCAAATTAACCACGCGCACAGACTACAACGCGAAGGACTCTGGGAAAATATTTTAAAGAGAAATCCACCGCCGCCGCCTTCCGATGACGTCATCAACGGATTGTTACGTCTCCAGCCCGCGCCACGCTGTCTCCGCCTGCAGCTGAGATGTGTCTGTTGTTAGCTGTTAGCTTGTTTCAGAGCGAGTGTGAGTGAACGGGACTGACGGACCCATCGAAACACCGCGCGACGTGAGTATTTATCAATCACACGTGTTCATGTCATCGGGACAAATGAAGAAAAAGCCACACTGACGTCAGCGTGTTTGTGTCGCTTCCGGCCGGTTTGTTGTTGTTGTTGTTGTTGTCGTCGCAGAAGCTAACTGTTAGCAGCTGATGAACTCTGGTTTAAAATCACAACACACGTGTTCGAACGTCTGAAGCTCAGTGAGTTCTTCTGACTTTTTACTCTCTGTCGCTGTCAGCGGCGTCACATATGCTGTGCATTGATGCTAGCCTTAGCTGCTAAGCTCTGTTAGCCGCTGACACGTCGTTTTTTCTTCACTTGCAGCCCGATGAACGTGTTGGTGTGTTTGAAAGTGTTTTCTTCTGTTTGCATGTGTTTGATTTGACTAAGTTATAATCAGGTCATATCCAGGGAAGAGGTGGAACAGCCCTGGATGTCCTCAAATCCAGTGACTTTATCCAGCATCGTTTATCTGTATGAACTATGTCACAGTCACTTATCTGGAACAGACTTACCTGATAGTGTGTCAGTGCTGTGAAGCCGTGTGTTCGTTCTAGGTTGTGTCAGAAGGTTGGCAGTTTATTATTGTCCCTTAATGTAGTGTTAGTACAACAGTCCTGCAATAAATAAACCAGATACTCCTTTCCCAGAGCTACGTCCCAAAGTGCTTCACTAAATAAGACCTGAAAAGAAATAAACAATAAAGATGTGCAACAGAAGGACAACACAATACACAGTTTTAAACACTACACAACAAGTCAGCAGTAAATGAATCCTTATAATTTACAATTTGGTTGAAACAGTTTCACAGATTTATTGTATTGGGCAGTTTGTTAATGTCGTGCTGCTTTTTAAATGTGGTATATTTACATTCAGAGGTGTTTCTGTAATTTATTTCACCCTCAATGTAAATGTTTTGGTCCGAATAATAGTAATTGTCCATTACAAACACTTCTGTCAAACAGTTTCAACAAAACCTGAACATTGTCGTCTTATAACTGTTTTATTTTTAGATCAATCCAGTAAAGAAGGAATATTTTCTAAGTAAATCCACAAAAACAACAGCAACCATTGGTACCAGTTATTCTATAGGCAGCATTTTAAATCCTGTGATTATATAAGTGTTGTCTACATGTTATAGCCCATGTTGTGTAACCATAAGTATTATGTGCTTTAGTGGCTTTGAATTATGTTTAACGGAGATTGTTTTTGTTGTTGCAAAGCAGTGAGGATTTGCAGACATGGGGGCTCTGATATCCCGGTGGAAGGTGAGTGAGTTAGAGAAAAGAGAAATTATGAAACCAATGTGTCACAAAATCTTAAATCTTCTGTTTTTTTAACTGTATCAACCACCACATTATTTTTACTCCACAGTCTCAAAGCTGTTTCTGAACTCTTGAAAGGAGAGTTTTTCATTTGTTCATTTGTTCAGTGACGACAGTATTTCAGGAAAACTTCGGAGGGTTAGCCATCAACTCACTGAACCCTGTGACCGAGCTGGACGAAATTCATATTCTATATTTAGACATACTGGAGAAGTCAAAGGGAAAGAGGAGGCTCCTGACAGAGAGACGGCTAGAGAGATTTAGAAATAGAAAGTGCAAACCTTGTATCCACATTATCTTTTCATTTATTCATTTATAAAGGACATAGATTGAGGTGTAAACAGAGAAAAACACAGAAATGTGACCTTGTACATCACATGTTGCTGAGATATTTCAGTGAACTAAACCATTGAATAGTCACCAGTTAAGAATTTGTATCCAGAGGGGCTGTATGTGTGAATGTAAATGTCTCAGTCATCAAGGCTCTACCCCCCTGACCTGAATGTTCCAGACATTTCCTGTTGTCATGAATGGACAATCTCCTGCTGCATTCTTCATATGTTAAAGTCAAACTCTGGAAACTAACGATCCAATTTTTTCAATGTCTGAAATTGTCTGAAAGCTTGAGGGACCCTGTGTTACTTTTTCTGGTGAACCTAACATAGATTTTCTGATCTTTATCCTTAATCTAGGCAAAGCCGACCACAGTGGAGCAGCTTGAGAACCTAGACAAGGTAAATATTTAACAGAATTGATGTACACATAAATACACATAATACTTTTAATACAGAAACATTATAAGTCCAGTTTCTCGATTAGCTTTTCATAATGGACATAAACAATCGGCTGATGAGGCGTTTACAGGAATCAACCTGGAAACTCACAGCTGGTGAACTTTAAACTAAACATCTGATTATTTGAGATCTTTTAAAATGACCTTTAACCTTCCTGTGTCTCCTGTAGGAGATAAAAGAGCTGGAGGAGTTTAGAGCCAAAAACCAACGTCTGGAAAAGGTGAAGTTGCCAAAACATCAACAACATGCAGTGATTAGATTAAAGTTTCTTTTGCCTCACCACTGTGTTTGTGTGTTTGTGTCTGCAGCTGTGGGTCGGCCGGCTGCTTTTGTACTCGTCAGTCCTCTACCTGTTGACGTCTCTGGTGGTTTACTTCCTCTACCTGCCTGAACAATGGTTGCAGAGAGTGGCCATGGCCCTGCCTTTCTTCTTATACCCTGTGCTGTGAGTGTCCACATTGTTTTTAATCTCCTTTGTTATTTCCTAGGTGGTACACAGCACCTAAGAAGTGTCATCCAAAAATATTGCTCTCCATTTTCTTTGAATGCAAGATGTTTATGCATTTATCATTTTCACTTGGCCTCTCTTTCCTTTTCTCTCACCAGAGTGTGGCTCATCAGGAAGTTATTGATTTTCCTATTTTCCAAACGCACTGAGAGAAACAGTAAGTTGTCTTTCCATCAATCGCTCCATGTAGTGTGGGATTTTTCATACAATTTTTTTCTACCTCTGCAAACTGCATTGATTTTATCACATGCTCTACAGATATCTGAGATTACATTAATGTTGTAAACAGCAAAAATAATAATTGAATACAAATTTAAACTGCACTACTTAAATTTCAAATAGAGCTTTATGATAAAATAATAGTATAAACTGATTACCTGAATGAATGAATGATATGCAAAGTATGCTTCTGTTTTTAGATGATAAACTAGAAGACTTAAAGGTTTCCAAGAAAAAGATTGTAAGTGTTGAATCCTTCATCGTTCTCATTTCATTTTACTTTCTTTGTTTAAACATATTTTTATTGTTGTGAGTCGCTGCCTTTTAGTTGCTGCTGACTGCCTCAGTCAAGTACTACTGTCTTGTCTTTCTTTTAGAATTGATGTGCCTTCTTGTCATTTTGATTTGACTCCAGATGAATCATTGTGGTCTAGTTTATTGTGGTTCTCCTATGTGTTTTAATAAAGGTACCACAATTCAGCCTGCATCTTGCAAATAAAGTCTCTGTGGTTTGTGTTTCCAGCTGGAGGACGTGATGGAAACGGAGACATATAAAAATGCCAAAATCATCCTGGAGCGCTTTGATCCAGAAGCTCAGAGGAAGGCTGTGAGTGTTGTTTCTTCCTCTGTGTTTATGTAGCTGTATCTTTGTTTTAACTGACGGTTGTTTGCTGCTTTGTTGTGTTGCAGGAGCTGGAGTCGACCCCAGTGCGTCCTCAGATGACTCCCAGGCCAGGACAAGGTATGACACACGTCAATACAAAGCAGAAAGATTTCTCAGTGGTATTGGACGGGTCAGAGTTGCACTGAGAGCGAGACGACAGTTTAAAAAAGGGATTTCTTGTCACAAGAATGAATCGCAGATCAAATGAGTGTCTCTCCTCTATGCAGAGATTAGACAAAGAGGCGTGCCAATGAGACCCATGCCGATGGGTACCCCAGGTCCCATGGCGATGACGCCCCCACCTGGAGCACGGCCCCCATTCGGACCCGGGGGCACACCTGTGGGTAAGGAAGACGCAGAAGTTTTGTGCTGAATCATCACAGATGACCTTGAGAGGTTTCTTGATGGAATATATTACAAGTCAGATGCTGCGTGTCCATAAGACTGTGGATGGAGACGTTTAACAGATTTAGCTCCTTCGTATAAAGTCTGTGTAATGTCTGAGCCGGTCCGGAGAATTAGCAGCGAGTGAGTGGACATTTTTGTGCCGATGACATTTGTATCCCACCTCCTGCTCACTCTACTCTGACACCAGTATTTCTCACAGGTGTGAATGTGTCTCATGTGTGTGAAAGGTCAAACACGTCTCAAGAAACAGGTCTGGACATTTCCCAGAGTTGACATGTGACAAACGGGCTCCTGTGTTTTGATGAAGATTCCCAGGGGCGAAGCACCGAGTCAGAGGCAGCTGTCATGGACTGTAAATCCAGTTTCCTTTTTGACTGGGTCCTTTTAGACATTGGTGTGTGTGTTTGTCCCGTGTTGCTCCCACGACAGAACCTGTCCTTCTCTCAGCTCCAGGAGGACCACCAGAGAGATCTGCTTTGTCTGCCTCAGTCCTGCAGGGGGCAGTACCAAGGACACCCTGCTCTCCTATACCAGGAGTAGGTAGGTTATAAAACCACTGATTAAATCTCAGTGTAAATCCTAAGGCAAGCAGAGCTCAGGACGGTGAAATCAGTTAAATGTAAAATAAAATCTTACATTATTGTGTAATCTATTCCTGTGTGTGGACTGTTTCTTCAGGCATGCACCCTCCAGGTCCTCCATTAGCAAGACCGGTTCTACCCAGAGACAGAGGAGCTGTGGATAGAGTCATCGAGTACCTGGTGGGGGACGGACCGCAGAACAGGTAAAGACCCCTTTTTCGTGCCTCTGTGCTGGCAAACGTCATAATCGGCTGGATAAAATGATGACTGTGACATCATAATGTTCTGCAACAACACATGCCTTGCTGTTATTCGATGTCGTAACCCAGGAACAGAAGACGTATTGTGACCAGATTTCCTTCAACATGAGTGTTAGGCAGAGTTGAAGCGTGAAGTGGTAATACTTTAGATGAAAAGACCTTTGTTTAAGTAGCTTGACACTCTGTAAGAAGTTAAATCATTGTCAGATCAGATCTTCCCATGTGAACCTGCACTATTTACAGGATACAGGAAGTGATAGCAGCACCAGTGTACCGCTGTACCTCTCCTAACCCTTAAATAAATAGTCGCTCTCCCTCCATTCCTCTTTCTTTCCTGTAGATACGCATTGATCTGCCAGCAGTGTTTCTCTCATAATGGCATGGCTCTGAAAGAAGAGTTTGAATACCTGGGTAAGAACACAAACTCAACTCTGTCATGTTTTTGATACTGGAAACTCCAGGAAGTTATTTCAATGCAAACTGGTTTTGAATTGTGTCCCTCCAGCATTTCGTTGCGTGTATTGCTACTTCCTGAATCCGGCCAGGAAGACGCGTCCTCAGGCTCCGCGGCTTCCAGAGTTCAGCTACGAGAGGAAGCTGCGAGCAGAGTCACGCTCCCCTGGACCAGCACCACGTTCTGGGACTGACACAGAGGAGAGTGCGCCACCCTCTGGAGGTACAGAGAATCACAGACACACAGACAGAAATGCACACAAGCAGTGAACAAGAATGAACTAAACTGGATCTCTTCAGGTTTAAACTGGGTAAACTGTGAAAAGGAAAAAGGTTTTTAACTGATTTGTTGCAGAAAACAACATTCAGACTTTTAGTAAAATAAATATCTGATGAAAACTAATTTAGGTCTAAATCTCAGACAGGAATATAATTTAGGAAGTTGGCTAAAACTTGAGACCTGAATATTTGAGCTTAACACCTGAGAGACCTGCACTGTCATGAAGAGCGTCTGTTTTCAGTTTGTTTCTCAGTGTCCTAACCTCAGTGTTAAAAGCTTCTTTAGTGCAGTGCTGCAGTTAACCGTCTCATTTGTTTGTGTTTGATTCTTTTCCCAACCTTAATGATGCCAACTTTTATTTGATCCCTTTGTAGTCGTTGAGAAAGGAGCCAGCAGAGGTGAGACACCACCACCTTCAAATATCTCCTTCTTTTCAACTTCAGCAAGTGTTAAGGGAGTTTTTAAATTTAAATTCAGAAGGTGAAGCGGTGTCTTTATTCATTTTTTCTATCCAAAGAAATCGGGTGAAAAGTTGAATCCTGTTTTTTTGCTGTGTGGAGACAACGTATGTGTATAATGCCATCACATCACAGGTTCAGCAGATTGCTTAGTGTGAAGTAGAAGCAGCAACAACTCGGCATGTTTTATTCGCTTCCTCAGCAGCTCGCAGTCGCTAAGTGTCATCAAATTCTACTTCCACAGCTCATTCCCAGGGTAGCGTTACAGTGAGCCGTGGGTTTAACAGTGTGATCTTGCCTCTAGCCAAAGCTCCGGCTCCGTGGAATCTGGTCCACAGTTTCCAGATCCGGTCGAGTCCAAAGAACCCTCAGAGCCGACCTCTGCAGAGTCCAGGTTCCCCACCCCCCTCATCCTCTATGTCTGATCTGGCTTAATTTGAACTGATTTGAGATGTTTGATTTCTCCTGAATGGGTCGATTCTCTTTGCTTCTCTCGAGTCATATCTCAGGTAACTCGATGTGATTCAGATAAAAACAAGGGAGCTGAATATTTTGTGCACAATGAAAACAACTTTTGCCACAGTCGCTAAATTGTCTGTGTAATAGAATTAGTCTTAACACTAACAGATCGTTAATCTTAATATTTTAGATCCACCTTGAATCGGACTAATCTGTGTCTGTAACACCAGCGTCTCCGGCTGAGCTGAAACGATGTGTGTTAATGTTAAATGATCCAATCAACTGCCTGAATCTGTGTTGTTCATGGGATGTTACTGAAGTCTCTTTATCTTCTCTTCTCCTCCCAACTCTGGGAATGCTGCTTCATCTGTTTGATTTACTCATTTTCACTCCAGAAAACCAATCAATTCATATATTCCACATTAATCCAGACGCTCCCTCTTTCGTCCTTAATCTCTCTCTTTTCTAGTCCCTATAAATGTCTCATTTACGTGTCTTCTCCTCAGATGAGAAAGAGATGGGAGAAGATGAAGCATCCTCTAAAGAAGAAGTATTGAGTGAGAGCCAGTCGCAGGAGGAGCTGTGTCAGGGGGAGGAGCTGCGTCAGGAGGAGCTGCGTCTGGAGGAGGAAGAAGAAGTCGTTCATGAGGAGGAGGAGGTGGAGGGGGAATCGAACCAGCGTCACAGCGCTCCCTGTGAGGCAGAACCTCAGCCGTCATAGCTGCAGAGAGTCCAGACGAGTGTGATCTCTCTAAACGATGGCCATGATTGACAGGTTGCATTTTAAAGCAGTAAAATTAGACTTTTACAGCTTTAGTTTAACCTGCAACTTAAACTTTTTGTTTTGCAGCTTTTAGTTCCCACCTGGGTTTTTTTTTTTGCCCAAGTTTGGAAATGTCACCATCAAATTATCACAGCTAATATTGAATTTGTTCAACAATATTGCCTAAAATCATCTTATGTCATATCGTGGCCTGAACAGTTTGACTGGGCGGTGGATGATTGTAGTTTTTATCCGAAGGCTGTTTCTTGATAAAGTAGCTGGTTTGTAGTTTTGCTCTGTATTTTGTTACGAGGTAATGAACTGACTTAGTTTTAACATTTTAACATTCACACAGGTTTTTATGAAGTAGTTTGCTGCTATAAGATGTGTTGATGAAGAGTTTAGATCAAACTGCTGCTTCACTAAGGGTCTGTCTTCAGATGCTCAAACCTCTTGAGTTGGTTGTTTATCTTTTGGCGCCACTGGTCTGATTACTGCATATTTTACAAAATATACTTGTTTGTTTTCACACGAATCATATGTGGTGTTCGTTTGGTGCATTTTAAGACAAACCTTTATTGAATCAGAACGTCCCTGTTTGTGTTTACGCCACTAAGTGTCAGGGTTCTGCTGTGGCTTTCTTCCACTCCTAGTTTTAATCTCCTTTAAGCTTTTAACCTAATGCTGAAACATAGAGGGAAACTTAACGAAGCACTGATGCATGTTAGCAATTTATTTATGCGTTCCTGTACGTGGTAATGCTGTTACCCAGCTCGCTGTGCTGATCACTGTGCTCCACACAATAACTGAACTCAGATCAGCCCTTGGTAGCATAAGAGAGGACTTGTAACAAGGGGGGAGACGCACTTATGTCAGGTTTGTCTTCCCTGGATAGAAATATGTTGATTATTCAAATTTTAGTTTTTCCTCATCAATCGTTTTTGTCGTTGATTTTCTTTACGCCTGAGCTAATTTAAAACCTTGAGGATTTTATTTGTGTTTTTGAGCAACAGCAAAACAAGCGATAAACACATCAAGTTGTCACCACAACTGCCAATTTATCTCCGTCTCACTATCATTTGCCAAATGCACTGTTGCTTTATCTGAATCTGACATAATTTGCACTGAATTTCGCTTTTTATTTATTCGGCCGTATTTTGTTTTAATCTATATTTCCATTTTTGCTGTATTCGGCTTCAGCCTCCTTTGGCTTTCAGTATTGATTCTTTGTGCGTACATTCATTGAAGAGTGTTAAATGTGCCATCACACTGCTGGTGCCTTGGTTGCTGCTGGTATATTTTTTATTTCACAGTGTAATCTGTCCAACTTCTAACTGCTGTAACAAAACACAACGCGTCGAGAACTAGATCGTGTTCACAATTTGTTCTTGTTATTAAAGCAACACAATATAAGAATTGCTGTCGGGAAGACATGACTCACATGTTCTCTCTTTTCATTCTCCAGTTTGTTATTTGGTCACTTTCTCTTTTCCTCTTCTTCGACTCCTTCGACACTGTCCTTGGTTTCGTCCGGGCGGAGAATAGCGAGTTAGCCTTTTCTTATAGCTAGCTGCTAACCCCAGCTCTAGATGGTGATATATGTTGTTAAAGCACGTCCCATGTGTCCCTGCACGACACACCAACAACAGAGACATCACTCTTCTAAGTTTGTGTAGAACCAAAATGATTGTCAGGCTGTTGTGTTAAGGGAAAATCAACATTGTGTCACTAAGAGTTATATATAATAATATGTTGGTTTACCTGTGTTGTACAGATTAACAAGCAAAATATTCTTGTGGGACAAACACATTTAAATTTCATTTAAACTTTACAGCAACCCTCAATCATTTGGCACAAATATGCTGGAAGGTTTGTTCGAGTCTTCTGTTTCTGTACGTGGCACCAGAAGTGTTGAATGTTGAGCAGAGACCACACTACGGATTGAAACTCATCGGTCCGCACAGCTTGACATTTCGTTTTTCCTAATTATTATTTCCCTGCACGAGGCAGCTGATGTTTCCTGAAGTTGCAAAGTTGTTGCATCACGCTCTCTGTCCCACGTTAGTGATTTGTGTTTGACAGGTGATTTTCTGCCAATGCTGGTTGTCAAGTATACGCATGGCACGTCTAATAAAGTTTTTTTAAGCAACAAAAGAAACCAATAGTTGTGTTTTTATGATTCGTGAATGTCGTCCACGAGATTCTTGATCAGGAATAAGTAACAAACAGTAAACGGTGTCAACTGAATGAGATTTATTTTTCAACCCTTTTCACATCTACACAATGAGAAATATAAAAACAAAAAATCAGTGCAATAGAACATTACTGTGTCATTAAACTGAACCTGTCTCACGGCTGCAAAATAAATCAAGTTGCCTTCGAACACGTAGCAACACTGCAGCACCGACGGACAAGTCAACCTCGTGGAATTCTTCACTTTCACTGCATCATAAACTGTTTCGGTTAAAGCTGCACAACCCTCATCGTCTCATGATTCCCAAACAATACAGTGTGTTTTTTAACCTGATTTATTCAAATGATTAATTTCAATCTTTATCTACACTTAATTCAAACTCATGAATTCTGAGCTTAACAGCAGGGAAAGGTCAAAGGTCAAATTATCTGTGTTAAATGACTCAAACATTGCAAAATAGGAATTTTTTCAACATTTGCATTTATTTCTAAGAATGATTTTGGATCTTGGTGGAAATTGTTTGCATTTGTTGTATGTAATTTGTGGATCTTAATGAAAAAGGCTCCACAGTCACCTTTATCGCCACCTAGTTTTTTTTATGGATCCTCACTAAAGATTCAGATCAGGTCAAACTGATTCAGTGGGATTAAAGAATCAATTAATTTACCAAAGAATAATATTCAAAACCAAATGAGCCATAAAGAAAAAGTACAAGAGAGTCGAGAGGAGTTCACGCGCATCAGTGACCAAACAAACCAGGTCGCTCACCCGTGAGCAGTCGGAGGAGTTTTCTATTTTTGAATCAAAAAGTGTGACGTGAAGTTTACGCCACAGTTCACAACCTCAACCCATAAATATAAAAATCATTTGAGCGTCTGCAGGCAAAACAAAACAATAAAACTTCCAGACAGGAAATCGTCTCGTCTGCACTCAAAGACCAAGACGGTGTCATTCATGTCGATTAATGCTGTTTATGGTTTGTTTATAAGATGATTAAAATTCACTCGTTTCATCAGCAGAGTGACGGCAGCAATCAAACTCGGTAGAAAAACAACAAAAACAGGTTGTCAGCGACGAGAAGAGCTTCAAGTATGACCCATCGAGATCACGGGGCTGGAGCCGTTGGGATTTTCTCCTGCGTTTCAGTAAATACACACATTTGAAGGCGACGCCACTGAGAGACACAGCAGTCCACTCAGTGTGTGTCCGTCTGTGCGTGAGAGACAGAGGGAGTTGTGTTTGATGACACACATCTCTTCGTGGGGTCAGGCCCCGTACAGCATGTTGAGCTCGATGAGTCTCCCGGCAAAGACGCCGAGCGTCCCGATGATGCACACGGCCATGAACACGCAGAGCAGGATGTGGTCCAAAACCATGGCGACGAACTTCCACTCCTCAGCCGCCTGGGGCGAGATGAGAGGAGGGAGAGAGAAAGACATAATGAAGGAACTCTGATTACGGATGTTTGTTATTTACAGTGATGATGCCGAATTCTGTCTGATTTCTGTGTTTTCTTTTGCATAGTTTTTATTTTCTCTTTGTCCACGAGTTCAACTCTCACAGCCGTGAAACCAGATACAGATTAAATAAAAAATAAAAAGAACAAATACAACCCGAGGCCTGTGGCAAACGTATTCGTTTATGGATGTTTGAATGAATTACATGTCATTTTATAATCTTATATCTTACATTGTTCGATTCCTCGTCTGATTTCATGGTCTCAGCGATGTACTTCACTCCTTCGATGGCGCTGCGGACGTCAGGGTTTTTACTGATGGGAGACTGGTAGGGGACGCTTGTGGGGGTGGGGTTACCTGCAGAGGAGAGCAGGGACAGATGAGTCTCACGGATCTGACGTTCAGACAGTTGACAGTGGAATCATTCATCTGTGGTCTCACCTGAGATGTCGGAGATGTCCATGTCAGTGGGGAACAGTCTCTTCTGTCGGATCTCCTGACTCGGTCGCTTCATGGTCGAGAAGAACATCATGTTGGGAATGGTTTCAATGAAGACCTGTCACAGGCAGACGCAGCCACTGATTACGCTTCAGTCCAAACTTAATCACAACACTGAGGTGAAGAACCCAACACGAACCTTGCGGATCCAGGCGGGCATGGTGTGCGTGCTGGGCGAGCGGTGATGGGTGTTGATGACGATGACGGTGATGATGATGGAGGCGATGACGAACACCATGGTGAAGAGCATGTATTTGCCGATGAGAGGAACGGCGCTGGAGGTGGAGGGGATCAGCTCCACGATGACCAGCAGGAAGACAGTGAGAGACAGCAGGACGGAGATGGACAGAGTCATCTTCTCACCTGAAGACACAAAGACGGACGTTCACGCTCACCTGAATGAGTTTTACAGATTATTACACCTTAAAAACACACAGAAATAAACTTTGCTGTATTTAATATATCACTATTTACTGCACTTTACAGCGTTGGCCTAAATAGTATTACAGGATTGGACCAAGTACTATACAAAGATGGATGACACGTCTCAAACACGCCATCTTGTGCCGAGTCGTGATCGTGTTGAGGTCCCGCCCAGAGTCGATGTCAGCTGTCAATCATGATGTTTCACCCTGTTTCTGTCAGTGTGATGAAGACGACTCAAAAGACAGAAACCGTCTAAAAAATGATCTTACGAGTACTTTGACTTTTTTAGTTTGGTCCATGTCCCATAAACTAATATGGAGGAGGTGGGGTTTATGACCTGGCCAGCCACCAGGGGGCAATCAAGATGCTTTGGCTTCACTTTTATATATATTCAAGATTTGATAATGAGAAGTTCAATCAGGCAGGTGATTGGAAAATATGAATCTATGACTGGTTTAAATGAAAAACTCTGATAAACAGGATCCTTGTACCAGCTGGTAAATTCAGGACGTTGCTTTAAACCCACCAGGACGGACCTACCAGAGTCAGTGGGCAGGTAGAAGACCAGTCCGGTGAGGAAGGAAAACAACATGCAGGGAATGATGACGTTGACGATGAAGTAAAGAGGCAGCCGCAGCATCAGGAAGTGGTAGGTGATGTCCAGGTACGGAGTGTCGGGGCAGCAGGTGTAGTAAACCCAGTGTTTCCAGCTCCTGTAGTCCTTCAACACCCACTCACCCGACTCCATGAAGTTACTGAGGTCCGGTCGATCGCTGTCCTGAAAGACAGAGGAGAAAAAGAAATGTTTAAAGGTTATCAAACCTACATGACATGGAAATTTAACTGAATAATGATATTTTAAAGTTT